AGCCTTACAATAAAGTAGAATTAGCTCATCTGGTTGTGTTTCCTGTCTGGTCTACCTGGGAGGCTGGCGCTCCAGGAAGATCAACAGCAGTGGAGGATGGGAGCAAGGGACAAGGTGCATCAGCCCAGACCTACTCAGTCCATAAGACTCCTCTGAAGTCCTCCTCTGTCTCAACTGACTCTTTGAACAATCGAAATGTTCCAGGATGCAGTTCTCCTGAATCACAGCCCATTCAGAAGTGTTCAGCAGAACTTCCAAGATTCAATATTTATTATGGGTTCAAAGCAAAACACATTTCCAGTTCATGCACACCCCTACTAAGTATTAGGAGAAATTCCTGACAGTAAAAGCTATTGGAACAGTCTGCCTAGAACAGCTGTGAACCCCCAATTGCTGGAGGTCTTCAAACTGGATGTCCACCTTTGGGGGATGGTCCTGCTCTGAACAGGAATTGGATTAGATGACCTAAATGCTCCTTCCAACTCCTATGTTCCATGATGCTATGAATTACAGTGGGGCAAAAAAGTATTTAGGCAGCCACCAATTGCGCAGGTTCTCCCACTTAAAAAGATGAGAGAGGCCTGTAATTTTCATCATAGGTATACCTCAACTATGAGAGACAAAATGGGGAAAAAAATCCAGAAAATCACATTGTCTGATTTTTAAAGAATTTATTTGCAAATCATGGTGGAAAATAAGTATTTGGTCACCTACAAACAAGGAGAGAGGCCTGTAATTTTCATCATAGGTATACCTCAACTATGAGAGACAAAATGGGGAAAAAAATCCAGAAAATCACATTGTCTGATTTTTAAAGAATTTATTTGCAAATCATGGTGGAAAATAAGTATTTGGTCACCTACAAACAAGGAGAGAGGCCTGTAATTTTCATCATAGGTATACCTCAACTATGAGAGACAAAATGGGGAAAAAAATCCAGAAAATCACATTGTCTGATTTTTAAAGAATTTATTTGCAAATCATGGTGGAAAATAAGTATTTGGTCACCTACAAACAAGGAGAGAGGCCTGTAATTTTCATCATAGGTATACCTCAACTATGAGAGACAAAATGGGGAAAAAAATCCAGAAAATCACATTGTCTGATTTTTAAAGAATTTATTTGCAAATCATGGTGGAAAATAAGTATTTGGTCACCTACAAACAAGGAGAGAGGCCTGTAATTTTCATCATAGGTATACCTCAACTATGAGAGACAAAATGGGGAAAAAAATCCAGAAAATCACATTGTCTGATTTTTAAAGAATTTATTTGCAAATCATGGTGGAAAATAAGTATTTGGTCACCTACAAACAAGACCATGATTTGCAAATAAATTCTTTAAAAATCAGACAATGTGATTTTCTGGATTTTTTTCCCCATTTTGTCTCTCATAGTTGAGGTATACCTATGATGAAAATTACAGGCCTCTCTCATCTTTTTAAATGGGAGAACTTGCACAATTGGTGGCTGACTAAATACTTTTTTGCCCCATTGTATATGATTTCTTTAAACAGATCTCTACAACACTTATTCCATTTTACAAGCTAGATGGAAATTTCATTTCAATAAGATGCATGTTACTGGCAAGGCATTATTGCCCTGTGGGTGAATTTTTCTTCTTTTATTAGTTAGTAAATTAAAGATGAGAAAGGTTTCCCGTAAGCAGAAACTTGTTATTAGTCCATGCTTCTTTATTTAATTGTCCCCCAAGTTTCATTTTTACCTCCGAATGTTCATTTTTTCCAGAACACAAAAGCCGCTCTTTCTTAATCTGTTCTATCATCCACCTGTCTTCTTCATTCAAGTCAGGTATGGAGTCTTGGAGCTGAGCTGTCAGTTTCAGTTTCACCCAGGCTTTGAGAGAGAGAGAAACAAATAAACTTGTAAGTTTTTATTGCTTTCAGTTTTGGATTTTTTTTAATATTGTTTATTCCAACCTATTTTTACATCACATGTAGTAACGTGCCTTTTACTACAGGCATTCTGTATGGGCTTTTATAGTCCCCCCCCTTTTTTAGTTCTCCATCCACAAATACAGTATGTGCATTTTTTGTGCACTCACAAACATTCCTTCTCCCCTTTGGAAAGCTTCCTACAAAAAGCTGAGTCTCTCTCCCTTCCCAACTCCTAGACAGCTCACAGAAAAGCAGCAGAAGACTTTGTTAGGGGCCAGAACAGTGGCTATTAAATTGTGGCTTGGAAAGGTGAATACAACCCAAGTTCACTGATCTATGCTAGTATCACACCCCTCTTACATACTTCATCCCATACAGGAATGATTGTAGTGGGTTTGTTTTTAAGAAATTAGTAATGTTTTGTAGACTGATTAGTAATTACTGAAAAGATTCAATTACAGAAGTCTCTAAAGTACCACTTAGCATTCTCATGTGACATAATGGTCCTGAGCAGCAAACAAGTATTTCCACTGAACTCTGGAAAATCCATTCTCTCCTCCCTTTCCAAAAACAATTTGAAAGAAGAAAGGGAAAAAAAATCCGGCATGGCAAGCTGGACCCAATTAAACATGCTCAAGGAAGGCTAAGACCATGATTCATCTATCAAGAACCGCTGATTCCATCATATGGAGCATGACAGGATATAAGCACCTTCCACGCACGCGCTGGAATTCCTTCAGCCTATCATCTTGCCTTTTTCTTCCCCCCAGACTCACTTGATGATGGAATAAGACGGGGAGGGTCTCCCTGGAAGCATTTACACCAGACAAACTGCATTCCAGCTGCATGCCATGGAAATCTCCTTCTTTTTCTCAAGAGTCTTCTCACGGGCTTAGGAATCCTGCAAACATGCTGCCCCATGATAACCATTCAAAGCCCAAGGGCAGAAGTGACCGTCTCAAAGGTTTCATTCACCCCATTTCATTTCAGAGGTGGATTCTGAGGTGTAAACCCAGCAATTACACATCATGGAGCTCTTAAGGTTCAGTTACTCACCACGTGCCTTTTCTTCTTCTTCCTGTACACTCTGTAGTATTTGAGTTGCATGCCACACAGGGCGTTCCTCTTCCAGAAGAGTTTTGACACGGACAGCCAAAGAGTCCAAGCTGCTGCTGTTATTGCTCCCTTGGGGACCAATACAGGTATCTTCTCTGCTGAAAGCTGCGCTGGTTGCAACGGAGTGCTCTCTGGGGCCAGATCCATCACGCTCCTTCATCTCCATCCAAGGAGCTCTGTGGATCACGGAATGCTCATACTGGAGAAGTTTCTTCACTTTGATACCCAGAGAGTCCACACTGCTGCTATTTGCACTTTCGTGAGGACTACCTACCTCTTTATTGTGAGTTTCACTAGTTTTCTCCTCAATTTGCTGAACATTTCCCAAGATGTTAGATACACCATCCAAGGGCTCCATATCTGAAACAGCCTGGATCTCTTTTAGATTTGGAGGGAGGCATACTTCGCTATCTGCAGACCTATTTATTGAAACAGGAAGACTTTTATTCACAGCTATCCTGTTGCAACCTTCCGGTTCTGATCGCGTTACAGGTTTTGTCATTCCATGCTCTTCACTCACTTTCTGGGATTCTGGCCTCAGCTTTTCAGGTACAACTGGCTCCTTGTCGCACAAGTCCGCAATCTGCAAATCTTCCCATTTTAAGTTTCCAGTGATATTCTGCTTGGCCATGCTCTCATCCCATGACCAAACTCTCTGAATCCCCAGTCTACTCTTCTTAACTGATCCAGGATCTCCAGACAACTCCCTCTGATTGATATATGTTAATGAGCTGGAAGAAGAGATGCATGAAGCAGATCTGAATTTTTCATTTGAAGTTCTAGTGTCTATCTCTGCCACAAGCTTCTGCCTCTCTTTTGGTGTGTTTGACCCTGTGAAGGAATCATCTCTTTCTCCAGCAGAAATTACATTTGAAGATCTAATTTCTTCACTTACACACTTTTCATCATTGTCCTGAGACAAAGGACTGGAAGATGGTTTTGCTTGACTTATACCAAGTTTGTTTGAGTCTAAATTGTCCTCTGGTAACTCTGCACATTTTGTTGATATTTCCTCACGAACGTTGGATGGAACTCCTGGGATTACTTGGTTTTCTTCTGTTGGAATGGGAGCAGAAGGAAACTCAGGAATAGACTCTGCAAGAGGTGGTGTTACAGCATGAGATTTCCAGTGAGAGTTGCTCTGATGGAGGAGATCTCTGGAGGGTTGTGGAGAAAGCTTTGTAGGTAGTGAAGTATCAGAGACATCTGACCCTGCCAGAGCAGGCCCACTGAGCAGCAAAGAATTCAAGGTTGACCCCATAGCATCTTTCACAGACTGTGAATCTTCTGAAAGAAAATTAAGAACATTAGATTTCCCTATTAATGTCAGTTCCCATAAATCTGATGTCAGACAATGAAATAAATATGTTACCAGCAATTATTCTGGAAAAAGAAATAATTTCAAATATTTCATATAACCACCAGAGATGAATATCAATTTCTAGTACATGCCATTTATAGCTGTAAATTGATGTGATTCTACATAGCCAGATTAAAGAAGTATTGCTACAAAACCTCCCCACTAACCTCCTTTCCATTTCCTTTAGGAAGGAAAACCTTTTGAGATTAGACCTACAGCACCGGAGAAATTGCTACCAAATCCAGAATTCTTTTAAAAACCAGGGACTGGTATTCTGTTGCAACTTCACTGCACATCCCTGAACGTTGTTAGACTCCAATATCTTCACTGACCGCATGAGCATCCACAGCAGCTGTGAGAAAGCCACCACCTTGTTGTGCTGGCCCAAAGAGCTCCATCCAACCTACCTCCTACACTGATCATGGCAATTGGCTTCAAGACTTACAGTGCCTCTGAACCTGCAGGTTCCATCCAATTCACAAGACTAAGAGCCACTGCTGGATCAACCTAATCACCTCAAGTGAAGCCCGAGAGTTTCCCATCGTACCTTCTGATAAGTGCAAGTGGAAAAGATCAGTAGATGCCTTCAATGTTCTGAGCTCAGTTGGAGAAAATTCGATTTCTCTAATGGGCCCCTGAGGCATAAATGGAGTCAGAATAGACGAAGGTGACTGGTCAATCCCCAGGTTATGGAGGTACACCTGATGTAAGAAGGGAAGAAAATTAAACTGCAGATGCAATCAAAACAGGCTGGCCTTTGACAACATTCAGCTTGAAATTTCACCCAATATACCACCATTTTACAAGGAGGACAAATGAAAACAAAACATGCATATAGAAATAATTCCATTGGGAAGTCTCTGCAGGAAACCATATGTGAGGTTTAAATTTAGAGATTCCCACCACTCTGCAGGAATCTTGCTTCTGAGGCCTCTGTGCCTATAGATGTATTCATACCTATGAAGGCCTCTGGAGGCATCAGAAAGCCTCTGGATTCTCCTTTCCCTATCCATTCACATTTTTCAGGCTCACACTGACTCCAGAGCAGTGATGATGAAGCTACCGGCATATGGAGAGGCAGGGAAATGTTCTCTGAAGCAGAAGGCAGCCAGCAGCAGGAAAAATTATGGGAGTGGGAAGAGTGATGGCACCCTGACTGGAGACGAAAAGCAAAACAACCAAAAGCAGCAGAAAAGCAGAAGGACCAAAGGAAAAGGGAACTCTGGACCTACACAGATGGAAGGCAATTGCTGCCTCCAACAGGGACAATTTCTTTGGCGATTTTAGAGGATGGGAGAGAGAACAATTTCCCACCCTTTTTGCATACCTCACAGGCCAAACAGAAGAACCATATCAAGAAAGAGTAAGAAGAACAGAGAGGCAGGCAGAAAGAGTTGGGCCTCCTTGTTCAGCCAAAAGGAGGGTTAGATGCTCTCCATTCACTACTGAAAAACATCCTTCACAGGAAGTCCATGATTCTGTTTTCCAACAGTGGCAGAAGGTACCCTTAGTTGGGACTCATCAAAACAGCCCCAACAGAGCGAGCACCATTTGCTGCACTCTTAGAAATGAGGAATCATCAGCTGCAGGACTGTCCTAACAATATGCATGTAAGTGCATTAAAAGCCCTGGCAAGCTGCATCCATATCTGGAAATATATTTCAAAACACATTCAGTGTAATCTCTGTGGGTTCTGCTCCAGCAACAGAGATATCCATGAAACTAGGCCACTGTAATTCAGGGTTTTTAGTTGCATCTGAGTTCAAATTCTGGGAGTTGCAGTCCAGAACTTTCAAAGGGCATTTGGTGGGGCAAAGCTGTATTAGAGCAAGCAGCATGAAAGAAAAACAATTTTTCCTACTTTTTGTCTTATCTTTATCCTCCAAAATCTCTTTCATGAGCCTACATGTCCTGAAAACCTCATTAAAGCAGAAAAATATTTAGCAAAGGAAAAAGCTATTAATTTGGAGCAGAGGTAAACATTCTCTCATATGCATACATGAGCATATATTCCGCATATCAGCAAGAGTGAATATTCAAAATTAAATGGGCAGAAAAAGAAACAGGCAATCTTGGTTAGAGTTTGAGTTAGAGGACAAAAAGAGGAGCATTTACAGAATTATAAAATATACTTTATCATGAGACAAGGTTACATCAGATTTGCTACTGAAGATAATTTGGTGTAAATCATTTCTTCCTACAAATCAGTTTCCCATAAAATCCATCACAGAGCTGGCTTCTGCTGTCAAGTAGCACAAAAGGCCTGCCAAGGTAGAATCTAGACCAGTGTTCCTCCACCTTGGCAACTTT